TAACCCCAGGATCTTGAAGTCCAGGGTTTCTTTCATCCTTTTGGAAGAAGCCGTCGCAAGTTCGAAAACCCAATACCGATAAAAATTTAGGTTCAAGGACCTCCTTTAATTTGCACTATATTGTGCATATAGATTGATGCGTTTAGTGAACAATATTTTGTTTCGTCGGTAAACGTATATTTGAGCTAGTTTTTGCACATCAAAATTAAAATTTTTCTAGTTGGATTTTAATTAAGCAGAACTATATATCCAAATATGTGTTCTTCCGAGGAATTTCTTTCTTGTGAAATTTTATGAGATTTGAATTTTATATTATAATGGGATAAACAAACTCAATTATAATCGAAGTTAAACCTGGATAGCTTTTATGAATATTAGTTCATATAAAAAGAAAATTAAGTATATGTAATTAAGTTTTATTTGATTAATATTTAGAGAGTTGGATGGATAGTTAAGACCTAATTAAGGTGGTGTAGTCCGTCCTTGCTTATCTATAAGGTTCTAACCTTAAGCTAAGATGTGAGAAATAAATTCTCACAAATTCTCTAACTAATCTTAAATGTATTGTCTGTTTATCCGGATAAGAAATATGGATTTAATCTTTATATGTAAAACTTGATCTAAATACCATCTAACTATAAAACAAAACAAATAAAATAATTATATATCTTTAGAAAAACACAACAATAAGAGAGATGAAGAAGGAAAAGAACTCAATTAAATAGGGTTATATATATTCTGTAGTTGGAGTCCCCAGATGCTTTGGAGGGCTAGAGCGAAGAAAAAAAAGAAGCTAGCTAGCATCTATATATTTTCACTTAGTTAAAGTTTTATGGAGATGTAAAGATCGTTTTTCTAACGTCCAACTTAATTAGGTTTCTGACGATGAATGACGAGATGATTATTTTGAATTACATTTTTTTTTTTTAAAAAAAAGGCAAGACTTATTGTACACGTCTATGTGATTCTTTTCACTTGAATGAAAGAACTTAAACAAATAAAACAGAAGAGATTAACAAGGGATTTTATTTTCTTCTGTCAAAATGATTGATAGTTAGAATGAATGTTATGCGATTGATGTCGAATTTTATATATATAATTAGTGCAATAGAAAAGATACTTGCTAATCTTTTAAGAAGATTCCAAAACGTTTCACGTTTCATTGCGGGCCACAGTCTCTGTAGCTAATGATTTCGTTTATAGAATTGAAGAGAAATTTGCAATGAAGTTCAAATGTATAGCTGTAAGTGTTGCGCATGCTGCACACTGCTAAAATCTAAAAGCCACTTGTGCTTTCTTCTCCGAAACAAGACTTGGATTCAATTTCTAGCAGCACTCTTGTTATCTTGAGGACGAAAACAAAGTCTACACAACGAAAATGGTTGTATCACTTTGTTTAGTTTCATCCTTTTGTCGTTCGTGTTTAACAGGGTTTAGAGCATGCCTTTAATTGGTTGAAAAACTTAATAAATCTTGTTTGGGTTTCTATAGAAAGGGCCCCAATTAAAGGTGGAAACAGCTAGGTTTAAGGAGTTCAAAGCGGATTTAATTAATAAGATTAATTTGAGCTGGGGTGGTCCATTGCAAGAAAAATGCATGAGTACTTCGTCTGCAACAGTGTTTTATATTATACATGTTCATAAGTAGTTTGTTCCCATTTGAGTTATATATTCGGTTTTAAAGAATCATTTGAACTATCATGCCCTGTAGCTTTCTAATCATTGAGAAAAATAAAAACAATCCCCCCTACGGAATCCCAATTGTAGTTATTTTAATCGCCTAGTCATTTAAACATTTTAAAAAGGTTTTCTCTGTGCAAAATGACTTCATATATTATATATAATTAAGAGTAAAGCTTTTTTTTTTTTTTTTTAATCCAAGTTTTCTTTGTTTTTTTTTTCCGACTGCTTCTTTCTCTCTTCTAGTATTTTTTCAAGAATGCCAATTTTATGCATGAATTATATAGTAGGCAAAACTTAGACGGCCAAATATCGCAATAGGCCATGCTAATGGAAGCTTGTCGAATTTTTTTGGTATGGAGATCGAAGCCACCTTTAGTTTCAAAAGAAATTTATTATTAATAAATAATCGCTTAGGTATGATGCATTTTACTGGGAGTACGATCTATACATACGTAAGGCCCATGTCTATCGAACACTTTCTAATTTTATTTACTCTTTATATATTAGTAGAGTAAGGACATGAAAACTTGGCGTAATTTGAATTTATTGATTTATCTCCAAAATAATAATAATGGATTTCGAGTTGTAGGAGGATTGTTCGAGTAATTTATTTCAATATCCTTAGTTGTAATTCAACACAAAACAAAGTTGGAATTCACAACCATTTTTTAAGAAAAATATTAATATCAATTGAGTTACAATTTATTAGCTACATTGTAATATTGTTGGTCACTGAATAGTTGAGGTTTGCAATTAAAGAAAGGATGCAATTTCTTCAAATTGAATACAGGTGAATTCATTTGTCACATATGATCGATGCATCATTGCATTAAAATATAGGGAATTCTTCCACAACAATATATTAGGTTGTAGAAACTGTAGGGATACTCATAATATTAAACACTATACAGATTTAGTATAATAATTTTGTTAGTTAGTTAGCGAGTGAGAGTCAAAAGGGTAACGTCTCTGGTGGTGGCTCGGGGGTGGAGCCTCCAAAAAGTCTATATAATATTAAATCAGATGTATAGGTTTGTTGTTTTTTTTTTTTTTTATCTTTTTATAATACTATTTGTCCACACTATAAATAGATGTAATATCAATTATATCTGTAGTTGTCATTTGATAAACTCTAATAAGAACTTATAGTGCAATCGTAGAGTAAGCATTTTTTTCGAATCATGTAACATCTTTATGTTGTATGATTATGTTTGTCTTTTCATTATATTTTTTTGATTGATTGGTTTTCTAATATAATAACCACAAGATAATTATTAAAAAGTAATTTTTAAAACTTTTATTGATAGTTTAAATTTTTGAATTAGTATAGTTATTCAATTTAATATTAAAGTTTTAATAACCAAATTCTCAGCATTTCAAATCCTATTATCGCTATTCTTCTTTCAATTAAAAAAATTAAATCAGGTAATCCTTTTATTTTAGGATCACTCTTGACCAACTAGTGAGGTTAGTGAAATTTTTCCTTATACTTTCTGCAAGTTGAAAATTTAATATAAGAGGGGAAAAAACAGAGAAATTAAAATTACCCTGGCCGTGTTTACTGGTGGGGTTGGCGGTGGTGGGGAAAACTATAGCCGGTGGTGGTCCTGATGGTGTTGGCGTGACGTCTGTGCACTACTGGCGGTGGCTTTATAAAGGGTTAATTAATTAGCTAGAAGATTAATAATGTAAATGAGTGACGAGTTTACCGATCCTGCCCTTGCTGAGTAGTTCAACATTAAAGATTCCTTTTGACTAGTAGGCACTAAACATTATAGCAGGAAGGGAACTGATCGGTATATCAATAAATTTCTAAATTTTCTATTCTACAAATGTGCCAGAAATGTACCTAAACATGGATGTTCATTGGCACAGAGAACAATACTGTGTTTGTAGTATAGGATAGCAGAAATGGTAAAATACAACAACTACGTGGTCATCTTCAATCAATTTTATGCAATAATATTTGACAGCATCACTTAAATTTCATTTAGTAGAAATTAGAAAGTTTGGTGGGTGGCCGCGTTGATGAAGAATCACTATCTTGAATTTTCAAATGTGAGGCCAAAATGAAGAAATACTATTTATTACCACCAAAATGGATAACATTGGTGGGGTGAGGTAGTTTGCAACACGAAGTGGATTTCATCAGAAATAGCAAGATAATTTTTTTTTCTCGAGAAAATGACCGAAGCAATTTATTCTTTACCCTCAATGATGAAACTTTTGTAGGTGATCATGATTTGGAAGAATTGCCCCAAAAAGCTCAAAGAGGAACCCCTGTTTCCTTGAGACACTAAAGTTGTTCTGTGCAAGAGAAGGAATATTATATGTGTGTGGTCGCATACATTGTTTGCACAAAAAGACCACTTCTCATAGTCTGGATTGAAAGGATTATTCATTAAATCATTCTTTTTTAGTTTTTATCATGCTTTTGTTGTTTGAAATATCATAGGGCAGGACTCCATCCCTAGACTTTACCCAACTTTTTTTTTTATATAAATTTATAATCTTGATTGCCGTTAATTAGACTAAACACTCATTATTCTTGAGGCTTCTTTGACACGTAAAAACTCTTTTTACCCATTATGTCCTTGGAAGAATCATGAAACAAAGAATATTAATTGACAATCATCACAAGAAATTTCTACTTTTCAACTGCATTGTTATGTATTGAGTATAAACTGACTAGTCTTCATTTCTACCTCCATTATTCACTACGATCTGGAACTGCTTATGAGCTTTTGCCCGTTTGCATTTCACTGATGACTTAAGTTACAAGCATAGGTTATTATCAGTGTTTGAATTTCCTACTAAACACATATATATAGTATGAATGAGATGCCCCACCATTTCTGCAAAAGACATTATTTCTGATTAGACGTATGTATGCAACTCATACTGTACTACTAATTCATTTCCACTCCTTTACAACTAAATGGAATACATAATCATCCAAAAAAGAAAACAGAAAAAAAATATATTAAGGGAGGGGGAGAGAGAGAGAGAGAGAGAGAGAGAGGTGACTTTAACACCTTATTGACGGTGACTTTTCTCTCTTGAAGTCTAGCCCTTATATTAATTCGACTCCCTTTCTCGGCTGCTACTTCATTTTCCTGGCCTCCCTTTCAAAACTCTCTCTCTCCCTCCCTCTCTCTCTCTCCGCTTACATCTTTTCTACCAAAGCACTTCTTACAAATCTATTCACAGACATCTGTGTTCATTGCTGACACTTCACCTAGGATTCAACAAAATTTGCTGTTTTAGGAAAGGTATCTCTCGTTATATTATCCTCATTGGAGGTGAGTCTTTCTCTAAATGGGGAGGCACTCTTGCTGCTACAAGCAGAAGCTAAGGAAAGGCCTATGGTCACCTGAGGAAGATGAGAAACTTTTAAGGCATATTACTAAGTATGGTCATGGATGTTGGAGCTCTGTCCCAAAGCAAGCTGGTAATACCGACCTCAAATTCATCATCCCCTTGTTTATGCTATCCTTAAAAACCAAAGTGTTTATGCAATGTTCAATAAAAAAGGACCACTGTTCATGGACATAATGATATTTTTATTGAATTTTCCAGGTTTGCAAAGGTGTGGCAAGAGCTGCAGACTAAGGTGGATTAATTACTTGAGGCCTGATTTGAAAAGAGGCACATTCTCACAGCAGGAAGAGAACCTCATAATTGAACTTCATGCAGTTCTAGGAAATAGGTATCTTTCACTTTCCATAATTAATCACTCCTCATTGTGAACTGGTCTTCCTTTTCTCGCGGAAGCTAATACTGTTAAAGAGTTTTTTTTTTCTTCCAAATGATTACTCAGGTGGTCTCAGATTGCGGCACAATTGCCTGGAAGGACAGACAATGAAATAAAGAATCTGTGGAACTCTTGCTTAAAGAAAAAACTTAGGCAGAGAGGCATTGACCCTGCAACCCACAAACTACTTTCTGAGGTTGAAAATGGAGAGGACAAGAATCCTCCTGCCAGTGGCACCCAAGATAAAGCCTCTGCAGTCTCCAATACTGAACTCAACCTCCTCAAAGCTGATAATTCTAAGCCCTCGGGAGCAAATTTACAAGAAAAAAGATTATCTCCGATATCTCCACATGGTTACCAGTTGGAGAGGGAAAGTACTTCCAGCTCGAAGGCTATGAATGGGAGCAGCAATGCCAAAAATGACCATGGTAACAACAATTTGATGACACCAACAATCAACAAGGACTTTTTCTTGGATAGGTTTACAGCTTTCCACCATGAAAGCTCCACAAGTAACTGCCAGCCTTCGGATTTTGTAGGGAATTTCCCTCTTCGGCAATTGAATTATGCATCCAATGCCAGGCTTGCAACGAACTCGATCCCCTCTCTGTGGCTGAGCCAAACCAGCAAAGCTTTTGACACGAATTCTGAATTCTCTTCCACTGTGATACCCTCCATTCTTCCACCAGCAGTAACAAGCTCATTTCTTTCTACATCTATGGGCTACAAGCCTTCCATTACTGTTCCACCTGGCAATCCTCCATTGCCTTCTTTTTCAACCAACAGCTGTCGGCTTTGGGAAACCGGTGCCCCCAGCAACAACAGTAACAGCAGTACTGGAAGCAATGGCAGTACGGAGCTGCAAAGCCACAGTTCCTTCTTTGAGAATACCATCTTTTCTTGGGGATTAGGAGATTGTAGCTCAACAGAAAAGGAGGCACAGAACCCCTTGATGGCAAGCCAACAGGAGGACATCAAGTGGCCTGAATATCTTCAAAATCCATTGCTCATGGTTGCTGCTTTACAAAATCAAAATCAGCAATCTTTGTTCAATGAGATAAAATCAGAAACACGTCTCCTAACAGAAAATTCAAGTGGTATGTGGCCTCATAACCAGCAGCAACATGAACCTTTACAAAATCCTGATGTATGTCCCAAGGATATACAGAGAATTACAGCATCTTATGGGTATATTTAGCTTGCATTGGTACAGGGAGCCTCAATTTAGGGGAAAAATTAATTAGAGGCTTGAAACAGATGCTCTTTCTTCATTTACAGGTGTGCGTGCCATAGATTTTTCTCTTGTGCATAGGTCTGATACAATTAAAACATTTCTCACCCTCTGGTTTTGGAATATTTGTGAGCAAAATTATAATCCTTTTCATTAGCTTTTTACTTCTGGGTGTGGGGTAGAATTACATAATAAAGCTACTATTTCTTGTGTATGTTCTCTTCTTCGCCTCATTGCATATGCACCGTCATGTTGCAATTCTCTCTGTAAACAGTCCAAAACAAATGTTAATTATTTATCAATGGGATTTTTTTTTTTTTAATCCTTCTTTTCAGTTTAGTATGTGTAAATCACTGACATCCCTTTTCAAATTGGATAACTTAATTTTTATCTATTTATCCAAAACCTTCCCCTAGTTATTGGAAAACTGACGATTAGGTGAACTTCTGTGTAGTTGCATATCACCATCTCCGGGAGACAATTGATGCTAATCACTTGAATAGCAGCTTTTGTTCACTCTTTTTTCCTTCAATTTTGTTAAAAAAATAATATAAAATTATTTCCAAAATTTTGCCTATTAATTTAAATAAAATTATTTCTAAAATCTTAACTATTAATTTAAATTTTTTATTTTAATTTTTTATTTCAGATTATTTTTTTACCATAGTATCAAAATGAATTTTTAATTTGAGATAATTTTTTTGACGTTTTATCATAATATTGATGATTAAAAAATTACGAGTTGTAATCTTACTACGAATGCTTTCTCGCACAAAGCAACGGCGGGACTTTTGTTAGTTGAGATGGTTATTTACAAGTTTAGATGATTTCTAGACAATGAATGTTAGTTTTGCTTCACGCTCCTTTATTTTTATTATTAATTTAAAGAGCATAATACCTGCAATACGTCTCTTTCGTTTTAGACTCGAGGAGCCATCCCTCCTCGCTCCCCTTCTCAGTTGGACGCGCCCACACGCATGCACATAATCACACACATGTGAAAGTCTGCAAACTAATATGGCTGAAGAAGAGAAGAGGTGCCACTTTAAATTAATAATGGAAGCAAAGAAAAGAAAAACCCCACAATTGAAACAGAGAGTTATTCACTTTCCAGTCCGTACATGGGGGGATAATGACTGTCAATCTAATAAGGACCATATGTATATATATGCTCATGTCTTCTAGCTTCTTAAAGACACTAACATTATCTCAAGAACCATTTTATGTGTGAAGCAAGAAACTTCCAATTCGTGCGAAAAGCTTTGTCAATCCTATAGTGAATTAAAGCAGAAATTGAAAATGCATACAAATTAAGCAAATCACTGCCATCCACTTGTCAGCATTTTGCACAGAGGTGTCTTTTTATGATACTAGTCCAAAGTAGAACTGTTGAACTGATATTACGCTACATAAATTTTAATTACCGCTCATTGGCTGGAGTTGAAAGATGCTTGGAATTTAAGAAACGAACCTCTAGAGAGTTAAATTCAGTTGAAGCTCCTTGCTTTCTTCCTTAAAAGTCATGATAACATATTATTGACATGAAAGCAAGGAAAGGAGAAGGAAACTCCCTTGTAACCCAAAAGAGATCAGTATCTTTATAGCACTAATATATTATATATCAACTTCAGAACACAGGCACGCTTTCCCGTTGTTTCGACCTTTTCATATGCAGTGAGTTCATTGGACCAGAGGGATTGAAGGAAATCGGTGGGAAATTAACAAAGAAATGGAAATTACTGGTGGTGTTTACGGGTACGGATGAAAGGATGGAACACCAAAACTTCTCCGATCAGATTTGGAATTCTCAAATGATTAATGGACAACGGGACTAGTTGGATTGGGTGATAATGTATAGGGGGAGGAGGACCCACTGGTGACTCAAGGTCAGCCAAGGAAGGGAATCTTTTGCGCAGCCACACCCACACGTACAAGTATGCCCTTCGCTCTAACCAGATGGATCAAATGAGCAGGCCAAATTGTCGGGCCTTTTTGTTTCATTTGTGAATTCTTTCAAACTAATAATCGATGGGATACCACAGTTCAATTATTTGCCCCTGCGATTTGGCTCTAACATATACATTATACTTGGTAAAGCACCATTTCTTTTCCTAAGGCCACGGACATTTATTTAGGATAAAATCTTAACTCCGTGATTAATTAGTTTGGTGTCTGTACTTCTTTCAGTAAAAAGCAATTGGGCCTTTTAATTTATAATGGGATGGCACCAGAGTTATATTTTAAAAATTCGCAGTATTTTGTACTAATTTATAGCCGAGCCTAGTAAATCCTGTGATGGATTACTTTGTTTTAACTCTCTCTCTCTCTCTCTATATATATATATATAATTGTCACTAGTATTTAATCAGACTCGGAAAATATTAGAGATAATTGAGAAAATTTTTAATTGAAAAGCTGTCGGTGACATGCAATTAATGCGATCTAAAATAAATCTTAATTTGTCAACCTAATCTTTAAAGTTGCGAATTCTAAATGACCTTTCACAAAATATTTTGCTAAAGTTTTTCAGGTTCAATAATCAATAAAAACATATGCATCTATTGACAAAATCCAAGAACGAAATGCTTTATATGTTTGGTAAACAAGCCTGTGGATCACATCTAATTACCATACATTAGTTAATCCTTTAAGAGATTGAGAAGGCAGATAGCTGATAGGAATTAAAGAACTTGGAATTTAGTGACAGTGATCTCTTGTAAGAAATCATAAATTCAAATTGTAACATATTAATTCTAATAGAAAACTTAGGTGTGTGTTTTGAATATGTAAATTAAAAAGAAAAAAGGTAGCTGATAGCATCTTGCAGGAACTGGACAAAGATATATGGATAAACAAGTAGGAAAACATACAATGATTAAACACAAGCAAAAGCATATTTAAATATAAAAGACAGCACTTTATAAGATAATAATAACAATTAATTCTCCGCTATAACGTAATTCCTACTTAAAATATACTCCTAATAATAGACAATGTACGTAACTTGGAATGAGTAAATCATGAAGTTGCATTGTGATTATTTTTCAACCAAACATCTAAAACTTTTTGTGCAATCATATTTGTAGACTACTGTTTTTTCGTAAGAGATAAATATTTTTTTATATAACTTGGTTTTCTGACACATGTTCCGTACAAGTATTATTCAACTATTAAATATATTTTTTATAATCTCTAATAAATTATTTTTGAATTATGTAAAAGTAAATATTTTAGCATTTATTAAAATAAATTATTTGATTTTTTTTAATCTGAATAGTTTTATATAAAACTTATTTATTTGTTATTGAATTAGTTTGTTAATTGTTAAAGCATATAAACAAATTTTGATTGTATTGAAATAAAAATATAGAGATAAAATAGATAATAGTTAGTAACTTAGTATGTATGTTAGTCTGTAGCATGCATGGATATGAATGTTTATAATGAGATCTCTTGAAAATAATTACTATTACTAATAACACTAAAAGAAAAGATGAAATCACTGTAAATTTACTATTTACTTAATGTACATTGTCTCTACTTTTATTATTTGTTCATTATGTATTGTTTGCGAATAAATTTATTATTCATTTAATGTACATGGTCTCTACTTTTATTATTTGTTCATTGTGTATTGTGTGTGAATTTCTTATTGATTTATGGTGTTTTTCACTTTTTGTAAAAAATTATGCACTTTGGTCTCTCTTTTTTAAATTCTTTTTTTAGATACGTGATTTCATTTTTCTTTCACTTTGATCCATGCATGCTAAGAAGAGAAAGAAACGAGGGAGAAAGGAAGCAATGGCAAGGCCCATTTCGACAATCTTGAGTGTCGAGCTTACTATTAATTTGTTCGACTCAAATAGTAGAATCCTATTGTTGTGATGACAAGTTATAAAATAATTGAAGAAGCTAGATCGAGAACTAAAAATGTTTTTACTTTTTTTTATCTTGATTTCAATTTTGTGTGTTTATGTGCATTAAAATGATTTTAGAAGTACTAAATAAGTTTGTTTCGTTATTTATATGATTTTGAAGTGTTTTTGGACAAAAATATAGTTGAATTTGGTTTTGAGATGCTGAAAATTAAGAAACTTGACTTTTTAGATGAAATCGATAGCGTAAAAAATTACAATGGTTATCGAAAATTAAATAAATAAAATAAAATAAAATTTTCCTATGCCCGGGCGTGTGGGAAGCCTATACCTTTTCTTTGTTCTTTTTTTTTTTTTTTTTCATTTGATTTTTTCAATTAACATTTTTTATGCAAAACCTATAGAACATCGAATGTTATCACTTTTGTTTTTCATGCAAAGTGAGAATAAAATATATATATTGTTTTTTATATTTTAAATTTAACATATATTTTAGATTATATTATTCTTATTATTTAAATTTGTCGTTTTTATGAAAATTCTTATCCAATTAATTTATTTTTTTAGAAATTTTTTTCCTAATAAATATAATTTATTTTTCTCCATATTTGAATTTTGGAATAAAATTTTAAAACATAATTTTTTTTTATTTTTTAAAAATAAATTAATATAATATATATTGTGAATTCTTAGAATTTTTAAATGATAGTTCCATAAATATAAATATATAATTATTTTAATCTAAAATATTAAAATTGTATTTTAGATAATTTGTCTCAATCCACTAAGTATAGTCAAAACGTATAAAAAAATTATTAAATCATCAATTTTATTAAAAATTAATTATATATCTTTACACATAACACCAACTATTTATTATGAATATTTTTCTATAAAACTAATTTTTTTGAAATAAAATAATAAAAATAATTTTTTAAATGAATCACTTAATTATTTAAATATAACTTTTTACGCTAATATTATTGATTATTGTGTGTGTATTAAATGCAAGTACTTTCAAAAAAATAAACGTCTTATCAACATTAAATGAGGATAAAAAGTTATTTTTTTTATTATTTTTTTTACATAAGTGTATACATTAATTGTAACTTTATTTTTTGGATAAAGTTTTATGAAAAATATATTTAAAAGTATTTTTTAAAAATTCTTGATTAATATTTTAATTTAAATTATTATAAGTTTTTATTTAAGAATCAATGCATAAAGAAGAATAAATCATATTTTTCAAAATTAAAAATTTATTAAAAAGATAAAAAAATTTTAACATAATTTTGTTATACGGGCCGACAGCATAACGCAGGTAACCTATTAGTAATCACTAAAAAATTAATAAAGCCCATGCGCATGGATGCTGAACAAATGAAGGCATATTTCGGGTTTGGTTCTTCATCTTTTAGTTAGGGCCTTCGTTTAACTCGTACTGTTACCAACATCTTGTTTGATACTAAATTATTCCATAAAAGATTTACACTTACGTTGTCTAGATGAAATACTACTATTTGCGGCTGTTTTGGAATTATGCCAAAGTTCTTTGGTAAGGGCAAATACCTAAAATGACCCATCATTCCATTCCATAGAGAAGGACAGTGAGGGCAAGTGCCCCACCCCTAAACCCCCTTGTCCATAACCAACTGTACTATATTCCAAGAATAATAATGAATGTTATATTTAATCTCTTTTTATTTAATTGATATGTTCTCCATTATTCGTGGTTTTGTACCAAAAAAGAAAAAAAAAAAAGAATTATTCGCAGTTACGCAATCAAATAATTGAAAAAAAAGTCAAAAGACCGACATGAAACAAGCGTTATGAAATTCTGAAGTCAATACGCTGCACAAATATAATCGTCGGAATAATTAACTCGTTTCAACCAAGGAGAACTCTGTAATAAAAGCTGTGAGCCGAGTTGATATACATACAGGCGACTAGACATTGGCATTTTTAAAAAATATTATTTATTATTATTATTGAAACAATTTCTCTTCCTCTAACAACAGATTCCCTTTTTGCTTTGCCCCTCGATTTTCATAGAAACATTTCTAAGCTTTTATCCATGTGATAATGGCGTTCCAATCCAATTAAGAGAAGGAAAAGCAAAATCGTTCCACTGGCTAGCTAGACCCCCTTTAAATGACTCCACAATTGAAACTACAGAGAAATAGACCAGGGTTCAGCATCCTCATCTTAAACACAGTAATTTCTGAATACAAGAAAAGCTTACAAATGTTCTGCAAAAAACACCATAATCAGCGGTCCTAATAATGCGCTCAGGAGTCACTAACTCCTGCTATACTTTCTCAGGAAATAAAGATTTCCAGAATTTCGCAATCAGATTGGATGTAATTAACAGGAAGGGTGTAGCCTCACAACCAGGAAAAATAAAGCAACATGACATCCCTTAAACAGACCTCATCCAGTGCCCTCAGGTTCAGAATCATAAGTTGGATATCATCACAACGCATTTATCATCCTCTTCATCTCAGCAGACCTCCTGGGATCAGGCTCTTCAATGGCTCTCTCTGTGAGTACATGCTTGATACGACACATTGACTTCCTCACCTGAATTTCATTGTTCATAGAAATTGAACAGAATTTGCAGTTATGCTTGTGAGAACATACAGAGGACAAAACAAAACATGAGCTTGCATCCTAAAATTGACATGCTAAATTCAAAGAGAAGCGGTTTTCTAGTAATCCTTCTTTTACTTTATCTTCTTTGCATAATAATATAAAAACACAGGTGTTCTTTTACTTATCTTCTTTGCATAACACTGTAAAGGGTACTGCTAAATTCATCAACCAAATTGTTATTCCCATCAATCTTTTTTTAAGAAAATTACCAATACATCCTTCATCAATTACCAATAACCATTAATAACAAATATTAGTGGAGGGTGTATTAGTAATTTTTTAGAAAAAATTGGTGAGAATACAATTTGGTTAGTAAATTTAGCAGTACCCTACTATAAAAACAAGGGTGAGTACACAGCAAAGCTGCTTGTAATTGTAGTCCTTCACCTGACGTGCAAAAAAGTTTTTTACATGCATATGCTGGCAACCCCATGGCACACAAAACAACACACACACACACACACAAATATAGTTTGAAAAACCCTCCACCACTCCCCTAGATAGAGAGAAAGAGAGAGAGAGAGAGTGGAGAAGATGATTATAAAACACATTAAGCCAATGTTTGCATGCATATGTAAAGCCATATCATTTCCCTGGATTTCTGGCCAGTGGCACATTTATTCTTTGTGATTCGCTGGTTTTAAGGGCTATCTTGTTTAAGTTGCTATTGGTGCAGGAAGATAAACGGAAGCCTTTGAAGAGCTGAGAGCAACAACAATAACATACTCATATCAAAATACAAGCAAAGAAGATGGGATATACCTTGGGTAAGCGCTCTGGATTGGGAAATCGAAGGTTCTGGGCATGAAGCATCTGCCGTTGAGTCATCAGCATGTTTTTCTCCTTTAACAGAACATACCATAACTTATGAAGACTGTCCCAAGACTTCAGGCGCAGTTCAGAAGCTTTCCAACTTCGCCCTGGAGGCAGTAAAGAGTAAAAGGAAAACGCATTTAGAAAAAACAAAGGTTCTCCTTTTGCTGATAGGAAAGGAACATAAAATTTTCATAGATTAGCCATATTGTTTTGCAAGTTAATTAAAGCACTTTGTATCAGGCTAGTGAAGAAAATAACATGAAGTGCAAAATGACAAACCGTAAAAATGTCAAACAGAAAATAATTTACACTCGAGCACTTTCAATAAATTCTAAGGAAAAGTATCTGTGAGGTCAATATCATATAAGTTGGTATCTTTAGCATTCCTTCAGGAAACACAAAAATTAGGGTAGAGAAATCACCAAGCATACAAGTGTACAAGTCCAATATAGCAGGCTTCAAAATAATATCAAATCATGTAAATATATAGTGATATTTTATCAGTTCAATTCTTCAAGTCAAGGCAACTTAGACGTTAAAGTGCTTGGACTCATAAACTGTCTGTCGCCCATGTCGAAGAGACAATAAAGCAAACAAATAAACCAATCCAACTGTTTATTCATAGTGTGCTCTGTTACAAGTCCACACATCCAATAACATAGGTTTCAGAGTGAGCCAGTCCAACAAGGGCATCCCAATTTTTCCCAAAATCTTATCTTGATTCCAATTAGCTGATTATAAGAGCTTTTAGTCCAGCTATGTCCATATGTAGCAATGTATATATGGTCAAACCATAAGCCTCGCCGGATTACCCAATGGGCAAGATGCCAACCAAGAAAATCATTCTTGTAAACATTCTCAAAAACGATGAGTACCTTGCATTCATAAAACCATATATGCGTCGGCTTTGATGACAGAATCAATCAAGTTAAAGGTGATCTGTTAGCTTCAGTAAACCAGAGATGTTTGGTCATAAATATACATAAAAATGGGATATTTAGTCATACTGATTGTGTGCTTCAATTTTTCTCTCTGTTTCTTTTCAATTTCTTAATCTTCATGTGTTGAATGCAGCTCTTATATTGTTACTTGTAAAACAACAGAAATCATTTACCGCCGATCTGACGCTATGAAGGGTAGTGTGGTCCTCAATCAGTAAATAAAAGAAGCGATTGAGAATCTCATATCGTACCATAAACAATAGGTTTATCCTCATCCAGGCTCCTATCAGCCTCAAAGAAGTCCTCGAGTGGGTTATGTCCAGATGTAGCTGTAGCGGCAGCAGCAGAGGCAGCATGAGTTTCAGATTTAGCAGCAGCAAGGAGTGTCCTCCCAATAAATCTTGTCATAAACATGATTGAAGAATCAGATTTCTGCACACAAAATAGAGCAAGCAAACGAGTTTAGGGCACAACAAAAATAAAAACAAAGACGAAACAACAGAAAGAAAATCATTTATGATGGTGGGATATATCAACATTTGAGACCTCATTCACATTTTTTTGGGACCAAATATGCTTTGGCATGCAATTTAATTATAAAGAACTAAAAAAAAAATGAAAGCCAACTTTCTTAGTTTTTGAAAAAACAAATCGTGCAATTTTTCAATTAAAATTGTTTTAAACAACTCAATCAAAATATAAAAGAAAGTGGCAGCTGCACTTCATTATGCTTCTGAAAACCAAAGCACGCAAGTGTGAATCTATCATTGAAGAGTTTATGCTGGTCTTGGGTCTCAACCCCCTAAAAAAACCATCAAAGCATCAACAAGGAATCAATGGTCGAGGAACATTATCAAAATTCAAATCTGAATTCTGTTAAAAAAATTTATCCCAAGCAATTTAAAATTTCAAATTAGATTATCTAAGTAAAATTACACCAAACATGAAGCAAAACAAAGAAAAAGCAAATAGAATTTTCTTAAAGGCCTAACACTTATTTCATGCATCACACAAAACAAAATAATAGGGGAACATAAATGATCATGACAAATGAAATGGCATTTTAACAAGCTTGTCTTGTTATTAAAGTCTCAAGACTCGTTAAGCAAACAAATACCAAGAATGACAAACAAGACAGAAAATTGGAAATGCAAACGCAGCGATTACTATTAGCTTGAAGTGTCCCAGGAAACCCTTAAAGGTCCGATAAACGAAAATATTGTTCAACCAAACTAGCAAGATAGCAACTTTACCTCAAACCACCGTATACAGCAGCATCTACACGAATTTAGAGGCAAAAACCACCCACAACCCCACAAAACAGACTCCTTTCATGAATTTTCACACCCAAAATTGCAGAAACATCATTATTTACCTCAAATCCCAAACTGTTCTCTAGTTTTTTTATTTTTAACTGAAAATCATCAGTAAACATCATTAAGACTCAAATCATGCTTTCCAAAGTTATGATCATATTAAAAAAACACCCATACTTATTCCAAGGCATTTCAAAATGAAACTACCATTGAGAGATATTTATACCTAAATGTCTCTGAAATCGAATTAGAACCCTAGAGCCATAACTAAACCGAGTCACCGGCAATGTAAGTGTTATGACGTCAGCTGGGGATATGCAGAGAAGTCGGTTGAAGCGGCTGGTGGAGGTGCGGTGGTGACGGCTTCGGCAGATGGGGTAATGGTGGTTTTGCAGAACTGAGGTTTTATGGTAGAAATGGGCCTCGTTTTTGGACTTTTCAGAGATGTGGGCTATTTGAAGATGAGTCTCGGCTTATTCTCTAGGTGAACAAGTTTGGGTTTTAAAATCTTTTGAGTATTTCATTTCCTTAGTTTTCTTCTCTCCTGTATATATAATTAATGCTATAGATGCCAAGAGTTTTTTTTACATTTTTTTAATTAAATGATATGAAAATATATAATGTATCTATATAAATTTAAATAAAAAATTATAGTATTCTATGAGTAACTATCGATACTTTCTTTATTGGTCTTGAAGAGAAAAATAGACATAAAAAAAACATACATCCGAAATCATAAAAAATTATAATAAGTTTTTCATATAAACTCAAAAAAATATATATATTTAGTTTTCTATCTCTTGTTTCTTTTTTATACAAATTGCTATATAGGTACACCTTGTAAAAGGCTTATATATATATATATATATATACACACACACACTAAAAGAAGTGCATTAAAATTTTTTAAAATACTCTCTTATGCAATTAATCCATTTATTAGTTTAATTGTTTAAAATAAAAACTTTGGAACACCCACTCTAGTTAAAAGTGGGTATGGTGCTATTGCCACTTGAGTTAATCCCACCCCATAATCTTATGGAGAGACTAAATTAACCATCATTTTTAAAGATCCTGCAATTACAATTAAAATACCATGATATCAAATCTAAATATTATGAATCAGAATTATTTGTTTATAGAATTATCATTAAAAAAAAGTTACTAAAGTATAAAACAGCATGCTAATAGTATATGAGGGTTTTTCTAACACAAGTAAAGTAACATGTTGTTGGGCCCTTTAGCCTCGTTCAAAGTTGCAAGGCTACTGTCGAAGATTTAGATTGAAAGCCACAGATACATGCTAGGCGAATAGCAAAACGGCGTCCCAGTATTGGGCCTTAATGAGTTTTATCTGTTGTTGAGCACATATTTGGTTAAGGTCGGTTGGCGTCTCCTTCGTTTTGTTAGTTTGATCTCGTTTCTTGTTTTTAACGGTATATATTTCATCCATTCTGTAACCTAACATCATCTTAGTTGTTGTTCATCAAAGACAATTCAGCTTTCCCTTCTTATATCCTTTTGACAAAACGCAAACAAACACATAAATACAAATATTAAGTCAGTCCAGTTACATAGAAAACAGCAAAAGCATATAAATATCATTACTTAAGATCTCTCTTTTTAGAATTTAATATAAGTAAAACCTCTCTTCTTAGATCTAAACAAATTATCTACTTTCAACAAAACACCCTACTGAATACTGCTGAAAAAAGAGAGGGTAAAATATCTATTCTTTGAGTCTACACATATTTCCTTTCCAGAAAATATCCTACTAAATAAAGCTAAAGCTATATATATATATATATATATATATAAAGGGAGAGAATTTCGACAAAATTAGTGAGATCTAAAAAGAAAATTAGGGATATTTAGACTTATCGGTCGAACTGATCACGAATCCAACTACAGATATTTCTTACGCCCACCAGAACACGAAATGAAGGGAATAGATATCGCACCGTGTACATCCGATATTGTTGTGCAAATCCATGCTCGCTCCTGATACGATCATGGATTTATATCGAGCCTTTATGGATTTTTTCTGCTACCGAATACATATTTGATTAGGGTTGGTTGGTATCTCGTTAGTTTTGTTAGTTTATTCTCGTTTTCTATTTTATCCATTCTATAGCATAACATGATCACAGTTTTTGCTTTCCAGGTGCTTCCAATTCAACTTAGCACTAATTACTCATCCTCTCTCTTCAATTTCTTTACTACTTTTCTCTTATAGTTTAATAATCTCTTTGTTACTATTGCTTTCTCATTACCTCGCTAAGCAATGGATTTGATTTGCTAATTATAAAATAACCAAAATTGGTATGCTTCAGAGACCTGGTCTCTCACACGGAGTTTTTCTTCCAATCAAGGGGACACGAGGCCCATGTACAGTTGCAAAAGACAAAATATTATTGTCACCAAACCCAGCCACTCCCTGTTAATTTGTTGAATCCAAACACTTTTGCAATGCAAAACTATCTCCTTCACCGTCCTAGCTACTTCTCTTCAAATTTCCATCTTTTTTTCTCTGTTCCTGAAAATTACATTATCTTGGGAGAGCAACAAAATGTTAGTCAAGTCTTCTGCTATAAAAATATACTTTCTCATGGACTTGTCTATCTAACCAAACAACCTCTCTCCTTCAACTAACAACCCGTGCCTTGGGAGCCCATTTCTCCCTCTCCCTTTCTAACCTATACACGAAGACGTGTTGTCGGCAGTTAATATTTAAATGTGAGAGCATTGCATCAATCAACTATGCCTTGTTTGAAAATTGTGGCAATATATAATCTATATATTGAAATTCAACTCTCGTGTGATACAATAATTGGTCGCCACATTTCTGTCTCGTTGTAATTTATGTTTCAGGTGCCACTTTAGATTGATGGAGCCATTTAATAATATGGATATTAGTCACGTTTGTAATGGAAAATCGGAAATATCGTTTTTGGTTTGATTTACCCTATAGTAAGCAAGTTTTTTATTTACAATTTAGTTCAATTTCAGGTGGAAGGCTTATGGCAGAAGCCGCGGACCTATTTCCTATGGAATTGTCATGTAGTTCATGGATGTTAAATAATCGGACCGTTGGGGTATAAGAGGTTTATCTCATATTTGATCAATGTATTTTAAAAAAAAATTAATTGAAACTCTCAATTTTTTTATTTGATTAAAATTTTTTATTCTTTTAGATTTATTGATTCAAGCTCTTTCTTATAATATCATTAACTATTCATTTGACGTTATATATTATCGATAACGGTAATTTGTCACCGAACGACACATGGCTAAGTGAGTCTCAATTAACAATATTTTCATCCGAATAAAAAAATTAAAAATGATTTTAATAATAAATTAATACTTATAACTAAAAATTTATCGAAAAGACAACTTCAACCCCACTTCATTATCTTGAACCTAGAGAACGAGTTTTTCTTTTCTTCTTCCTCCTACTACTCCTCTTTGCACCATAACATCACCATCACTATCCCCACTCTCTAATTGCTAAAAATTGCTAACCTATCAATTTCAATTGAAATACCCCAGGCACCAAAGCTATTGCATATCACTTTCTTGGCCCTTGCTTATACAAAACTCTCATTTCTCACTTCTCAAAACTTAAAAACAATAAAAACATCTCTCATTCTCTTTCTTTAGTTTTAGAGACACAAAACCCCGATATCAACACTTTCGATGCAATCATTTTTGGGTTTGCAAGGGCTAATGATTTTAGAACTATTTTGGACCTTTTTAACAAGTTAGCATGTGGATTTAGTGCACGATATGTTTACTTTGAGTTTTTTAGTTAAAAGGTTATACGGGGAAAGAGTTTGGAAGAGGAAAGGGGTTTGTAAAACAAAAAGGCTTGGAAGAGGAAAGAGGACTTAATGACGAAAAAAGGGGATAGGACGATGAAAGGTTAGGAGATGAAAGAAAGAAGGAACCCAATTGATTGGAGGGTAATGAAAGACTTATTAGTTACATGAAGTGGATCAATTAGGTGGGTCAGGTTAAACTAATACTATTATGGATTTACTTATCATTAGTCCGATCTACTATGATTGGATCGAGTCTCTATAATAACTTGGGCTTAGT